AAAGCCAAAAATCTTGACCATATGAGTATGATAACTTTCTACTTCTCACATTTTTAGAACTTCTCAAATAAATCTCTCCCTATATATAGGGGTTACATCATGTGAGGACCACAAAAAGGTTGAGAACTGTGAGGACTGATCTAAGTCCTAATTTGGTTTTGATCATATGGTTTTAACTGAAAGTTGTTTTAATTTAAAAAAAAAAACATAATCGTCGTTTTGGTAACAAGATTCAGTGGATAAAACACATAGATTCACTGGATGAAACACACAAATTCACCGGATGAAACACAAAGATTTACAAAATGAAACCACATACTCGCCATGCTATTTCATCTCATGAATTTTTATAAATATGCTATTTCACCTTATGAAATTTACACATTTGGTCCCAATATATATAAAAAGCTACATTACAAAAGTAGCTACCAAATTTTTTCATATAATCCCAGTACAAGACTTGTATATATAACATGTATTCAAGTACATATAACATCACATTTTGAAAAATCTATATATGTAAGCAATCATGAATCCCTTTATAATTTCCCCTTTTCCGTCGGTTGTGTCTGACCTGTAATGCACATTGTGAAATACAAACGAGGGTTAGACCAGAAAGTCTAGTGAGAAAATAAAATACATCTAATGTCCAAGTGTTCTTCAGCAAAAGAGCTATAGGCTCTACTGCATCATTGGTGGTTCGAGATACCTACTTCTCCCTGTTCGTTTGAGGAGGTCACAAAGCTGATTCTAAACCCGATCGACGAAAAAGGTCAAAACAACTGTTGTCTATGATATGTATTGCGTCCCGTTGGGTGATATATATATATATGAAGGAGTCAGAACAATAAAATCAATCAACAACAAGATTCATGCGTCACGAGAAGCTGTTAACTAGGTCAAACTCTACTCTTTTCCGTGGGTTAAAAATAGAGTCAAGTTGGGGAAATATACTAGGTGGGAAATCTGGTACTGTAATCCTCGTTAATGGTTTTTCGAACATCAAGCAATCTAGCGTCTTGCTAGGTTTCTCGGTTCAACAAAATCCATTTCTTGCCGTTCAAGAAAAAGTCCCCACAACCCTTAACCTCTTTATAATTCTCATTTGATTACAGCCCCTTTATATATAACATGCACCAACAATTATAGTACCCCTTTTTAATTTGTTAATTAATTAATATCAAGAAAATCTTTGAGAGTCAACAAGATCATCTTAGAATATAAGATATGGCTACCACCACCAATATATAGAGTCAATAAATTAAAATAAGCCAAGAAAGTTATAAAAGTTAGGACTAGGATTTGAGTGTGTAGATCAACTTTCTCATGTGATATGGGGCACCCCTCATATTCTTTAATTCAACAAATTCATACCTTTTTTTTTTAATTAGTTGAAGCAATTTCCACAATTATAAATTCTAAAATTGTAGCATCAATTTGATTTCTTTAGAACTATCAAGTATTTTCAAGAAAGTTGGCATTTCTTGTAATGCCATAAATTCTATATTTGGTATCTTAACTAATCTTAGATTCTTCTTCTTTATTCAAAAACACTTTCTCCACATCAAATGTCTAATTAATTATATTATTTTTTAATATTAGAATTAAAATGCTTATTATAGTTTCCCACAAGAATAATCTATACTATATTATAAAACATTTGACAGAAACTCTTAAAAACTATTTTTATGCATAAAATACTGTTTATTGATGCATATTACTTAAAAATTCAATATGACAAGTAAATTGTGTGTAAGTATAGCTTATTAAAACTTCATTTTTGAATTTGTGTAACTAACTATAGATGAACATAATCAAATACGAGATAAACATATCATTTAAATATAAATAATGTAAAATATAATTGGGATAATCATTAAGTTCTAACAAACTACTTAATTATTATCTTTATAAAAAGATTATATTATTAAACAAAAAAATGAGAAATTTTAAATAGTTAGTTTGATACTGATATCAATAACTTTTTTTCCCTGTTTTTTATGATATATCTTTATATTTATATTTTATTCAAAAATAAAAATATTATTGTTTTATCAAAATCACATAAAATAGTAAATAAAACTGTTTATTAGTTTTTTTTTAATTGTATTTTAATACATAATTTTACAAGATTTAATAAAAATAATAATTATAAATGAGAGAAAAGAAAAGATAATTTGGGGGACAAGATCTTAATCACTTAAAGTTTGCAAATTATTCGATGTTTTAATCTCTTTTACGACTATTAACACTGTCTTATAATTACATTCCACTTTAAATGTTAAAAAAACTCAAAATTAGTGCTTTAAATAATCCCCTTAACATTATTAGGGTTTTATTAATTACTAATTTTTTTTTTTGGTTTTATACATAATGCAACAAATAGTTTTTCCCAATCATTAACTTAAAGAATTCTTTTCTTTATTTAATGTTATCGATAGAAATTTTAACACTAAACAAAATTCTGTCACACGCACGCACGTACGTGTACGCACGTACACACGCATATATCTATATGAGGTTTTTCTAAATACAAACCATGCAATTGATTGTCGTAAATCATACAAGCTAATCAACCGAGACATTTATGGAAATGACGATAATTTATTTATTATAATCTGAAGATTATTATAGTTCATTAATTATGATTAATACTTTATAAGACAATCGAGATATTTATGAAACCACATATTCATTTGATTATATGGACGATTAAGATTGATTTTTATAGTTTGTAACAACATATAACCATAAGGGTGATGCCTGATTGGTTTGAGTTTGGCTCCAAAGGTCAAAAGTACCATGAGGTTCCAAGTTCAAATCCAAGGAGGAATAAAAATCCCCTTGTGGCCACGGAGGTTCAAATGCGGTGATTTCGGGCTATCTGCAAAGCTGCAGGTGGTCGTCCTGAGATTAGTCGGCTCGCATAGCGGGTTGGATATCCAGGTTAATAAAAAAAAATATTGGTTTGATTAAACTTGGGTTTACTTAGATTAGTTGATAGGTTAATCATAGTCCCATATTTTGCTAATATGCTTGATAATGATTGCACAAAGATGATGGGTGGATAGTGTTAAATGACATTTCATGATTTTCTTAGTGATTTTCTTTTAATATATATATATATATAAAAATATCATGTGTTAACCCATGGATTAATTAATTAATGTAGATTAATTAGCAAATGAACAACACCATCAAACATTATTTAGTTTTGTTTTATTCGATTGATTCATCATTTAGACGATAAATACTCCCCTGATCATAAATTCAAATCCTCAAATTCGTCTTACTCTTTAGAAAAAAATGAACATGTTCAATAATTCATTGAAACGATTTTGTACATATATACGCATTTTTTCTTAGAACATACTACAGAAGTAGTAGATTTACTCAAGGTTATACAGATCTTCCTTAATTAAGTTGCGTTTTTTTAAAAACCCTGAATCTAATTTGAGCATAGAATATATACCATCATCTAAAGTCATGGTTTTAAAGAATTCGTTATCGCGTTGTTGTGGTGTGGACCCGTGGAGGGTCGGCTTTGCTGCCACCGCTACAGTAAATTTGGGTTTATAGAAAGTCAAAGATGTATAAGTGTTCTAATTGATTGTTTTATAGGACAAAATGATACATACCCAATATGGCGTTTAATTAAAAATATCTTAAAGAATTTGATAAGACGTTTAAAAACGTAACACTTTTAGATATGACGCTTTATCGTCTGGTCTTATGAACTTAAGGCCTATAAAGTGATCTACTAGGAAACTTGGACATTGTTGGCGTCCTATATAAACCTGATTTTGTTGTAACTGTATGTTGACCCTTGTGGTTGCACTCTAAGATTTGGCTTGCGTTGTAAGTTATAATACGTTATGACATGTTGTTTTGTAAGGTGTGGGTATTTAATTTACAACTTAGATGATAAATAATCATTACGTATGAGACCTAAGAATTAAAAATTAAACTTAAAAACTTAAACCCTAGATAGATAAATCCTTACTCTCATTCCTATAAAAAAGGAGTCGAACACGGATTTTTTGAAGATTAAAGAAAGTAGTAGTACTTAATAGAGATTCAAAGTGATTTAATTTCTCTTGACCTCAATTTTGTACTCGTGATATCATTTTCTTATAAGTTCTATATTAACAAATGATTCTTCTTTCTTTTTTAATTTTATAACATTACTAAAATGAACGACTTTTACCTACGGATTTTTCTCTAGGAAATCCGTCGTTAAATTAAGGGGTGATTGATCAGAAAACCATCACAAAAAGTTGGTGGGAAACTTAAATCAGTAACATATTATCCAAGTATTTTCTGGGTGATCCTTTGGCATATTTTCTTGAAAAACATGGAATTCTACCGGAACCATTAGTGTTTTTAAAAATGGAAATTCCCCTAGGTACATGTCATTTGTTTTGTAGTGTAACTTTATATTAATTTAAATTGTTCTGCGATTTCACCATATATACATACAAGTGTATATATATATATATATATATATATATATGTATGTATGTATGTGTGTGTATGCATGCCGCCTTAGGGCACATCTAGAAAAGACCATGAAATTACGGTAACTCGTATTTTAATTAGAGCTTAACCTCGTTGTCACGTTACACCTCACGATCATTTAAAATCTTATATATAGTTGAATATCACATTCTTGGAATTGTCTTGCTTCAAAATCTTGTGTGAATTATGAATAAACAAGAAAATGAATTAATAATTAATAATTAATAAAAAGAAAAAAGAAAAGTAATAATAAATAGAGAGGGTAATAGTGGCAATTAAAGGATGAGAATAATTCAATTTGATGAAGAAAAAAAAAGAGCCTAATTGCCTTTAAAGCACTTTCAAATGGACCCATCGCTTGTCCTCTCAAGACCTCCCCCTCCATGATTTGATTTTCAATTTTTCCATTTTTTCTGCATCTCTCTTCAATTATATATCATCTCCAAATTCCCTTCTCTCTTCTCTCTAATTGCTGCAATCTGATGTCTACTCATGATCAGCAGATCCAGGGGAGAGAATTAGGTGAAGGATCATCAAGGGGGGGTGGTGGTGGTGGTGGTGGACTTATGCCTTCTGATTCCCAACCACCACCTCCACCGCCACCGCAGCTAAGCCGATATGAGTCGCAGAAGCGTCGTGATTGGAACACTTTCGGGCAGTATTTGAAGAACCAAAGACCCCCAGTGGCTTTGTCTCACTGCAACTACAGTCACGTACTGGATTTCCTTCGATACCTCGACCAGTTTGGAAAGACTAAGGTTCACTTACAAGGTTGTGTTTTCTTCGGTCACCCGGATCCGGCTGGACCTTGTACTTGCCCACTTAGGCAAGCTTGGGGCAGTCTTGACGCCCTCATCGGCCGCCTTCGTGCAGCCTACGAAGAAAACGGTGGATTGCCTGAAATGAATCCGTTTGCTAGTGGCGCGATACGGATTTACCTACGCGAAATCCGTGATTCGCAGGCGAAGGCACGAGGCATACCTTACAAGAAGAAGAAGAAGAAGAGAAACACTCCGATTCTCAAGGCGAATTCGAATGAAGAAACATCGAGTTTTCGGATTCAACAATCGTGATCTCCGGTTTTTCGATCTTCAAGAAACTGGTAATCTTTTAATCAATCATCTGATGCTAGATTTTGCTTCTTCAACCTTATAATGTGCTTATATTAAATGGGTTTTTCTTAAAGATTAACAGGTCATACTTGCATATGTATGACAAACCCTAAAATTGATGATCCAAAAAGCAAATATTTTGGGTGAAAAAGCAAACCCTAGCAGACTGCATATAGTTCTAGAAACCCTAACTTGCATGGAGAACACTTCAGTTCTCAACTTCTCTCTCTCTCTCTCTCTCTACCTGCACAATCTGTTCCCTCTCTAAAAATAAAAATAAAAATAAAAATAAAAATTATTAAAATGTTTGAAATATATATTATTAATTAATAATTAATTTAAAATAAAAAAAATTCTCCTTTATTAATTAATGACTATTTAGAAATTGGTAGTCTTGTCTTTTTTTGGGATTCTGCACTACATGGAGTGGCCATCAAGATTTGATCACATTACCTTAATCAAACACAGTTTTAATTAATTATATAATTAATCATTTATCAATATATCACACATTAACAGTATGTGTGTGTGTTTTGATTCAACATTAATGCATTTGGCAGATTAAATATTGGTTACAGCTTGTGATTTAATTCTTGATTTGATTTCTAATTAATCACATATCTACCACCTGCTTAATTAATTACTTAAATGTTTATAATTATTGACTTTATTTCCTTTTAATTCAACAATTGCTTTATAATAATTTTGTTTGTATCATATGCTCAGTACAAGAATATATATATATATATATATATAATTTGAGTAAAAAAGAATCAACGATTACACATATTTGATTACAAGAAATTAGTAATACGGGGATTGAGCATAACGAATAAAATCCAAACTTCGTAATGTGTTGATTTGCTCGTATAATTCATTATCTATGTTTCATTTCTAAGTTATTAATCAGCTAATCGTCAACCAATAGAGTGTTTGAGATTGCTTATTTGAAACAACTTATGTTTTTCTACGAAAGGACTTATAAACTTATTATAAGTCAGAAGAGTTTAACTTCTTCAAAAATTTCTTATTACCGGTTTGGCACCGGTATACGTTGTTTATCAAAACACTCAAAAGTGCTTATTACCAATGTCACACCAGAATAAGCCGATAAGTATTTTCATAAGCAATCCCAAACACCCCCCCAAAACAATAATGCCTTGTTGTATTCGTTAATTAATTAGTCTTTTATTAACAACCATTCTTCAGTCAGTTATGTTTGTTGCATAAAGATTTAGCTGATTATTGCAATTGATGTATAATCATATGATATGGTTTTGAATTATTTGTGCATATTATCATGAAATTGGGATTTTTCAATCTTTTCTCGTCTTAATTATATTATACACGTATGTGTGTGTGTATATATATATATATATATATATAATGAGATATTTAATGTGTAGTATATGTTAATATGTAAGTATGAACTTATGCAAAGATAAAAAAATCCATTTAAGAGACAATAAATTCATCATATAGATTGATCATCAACTTGTTCATTGCTCTTTGAATGTTAATTAGATGTATATGGTTTAAAACCAAAAACTTGGTGTGACTTATTTTTATTAATCAACTACAGTTTAATCATTTGAAAATTCCAAAATTTATGAGATCTGTGAGTACTTTTATCTTAAGGTTTTGTTTCACATGATTTACTTCTATCTCAGTATATATAATATGTAATTTGCTGATTAACATACATTTATTTCACAATGTGTTTGTTTTATATGTATTTAATCACAATGCGAAACTTTTTTACGTGTATTTTTTGTTCCACACAAAAGTTTCACATTGTGAACCAAATACATTTAATCACTATATTGAATTTTATGCATACCGAAAAATTATCACACATAAAATATGACACGTATACACGAATTCTCAAAAATCTCACGAATCAAAAAGTTCTCCTACGAATGTAAATTTCCGTAAAGTAGGATGCATGCTTCGTTTTCACACGGTTTTTTTTATATGTTACTTCGTGGCTAATTAATTAATTAATATTTGGATTTTAAATTCAAGATTATATATTTTTATATTATATATTTGTAATTATAATAATTAAAATTTCAGGTGGACATGGACATATAGATTTCAAGCTCTCAAATATGTGACGGACTTCCATTAATGGAGTGGATGCAGCTGCTCGAACTCCATTGATGCAAAATGCCTGATTCTCCTGAGCTCTGGTTTGGTTATGGTGATAATAATAAAAAGAATTTATTATTTATATAATTAAGGAAATTAAATATAGTTAGTTAATTAATATAATATAATATATATATATATATATATTTGTCTGAGGTAAATGCTTTTAATTTGTTAATTTAGAAAATGGGTTTGGAACTATACTTAATTACCCATTATATGTTATATTGCTACTATTAATTAATAATCAAATATGGAAAAAATTTAATATATTATGTGTTTTTTATTTTTGCTTGAGAATATGATATATGAAGTTAGGTTTAGGTTTAGGGGAAAATCACAAAAATTGAAAAACTAAAAAGAAAACATGTGAATAGAAGTAATTTGTCTGGTACACTACAACAAAATCGGTTTAATTTATAGGACATTCTCAAATCCTAAGTGTCTTAATAGACCTTTTTATAGGACTTAGTTTATAGGACTAAAAAAAATAAAATGTCATATCTAAAGGTGTTGTAATAAGTTTATATGACGTTTTTTTTATGTCGTAATAAGTTTTTTAGTACACTTTTAATATAGAGCATCCCATTAACTTTATAGAACACTTTTGAGAAAGTGTCCTATAAACTCAATTTTTTATAGGACATTTGTTTTTTTAGGACAGTTTTTCAAATAGTGTCATATAAAGTTGATAATGAGACGTTTTATATTAAATATGTCCTAAAAAACTTATTACGACATCAAAAAACGTCATATAAACTTATTACAACACCTTTAGATATGACACTTTATTTTTTTGGTCATATAAATTAAGTTCTATAAAGAGGTCTATTAGGACACTTATGATTTGAGAGTGTCCTATAAAACCGTTTTTGTTGTAGTGGTATACATAAATGTATGTGCATAAAACCAAGAAACAGCTTCAAAAACTGTGCATACTGTTCAGATAAATAGTTACCAAGATTTTTCTCAGTTTTTCATTCTTTTAAGGATTTTCTCCTGAACCTTCTTCTATAAACTTAAGATCATATGAAGTCACAACCCTTTTCCACGAGATATTTAAGAATACCTATTAAATCCTCTCATGGCCGTTGGATCGATCTCCTTGATCTTGCAAACCTTCAAATCTTTCTCTAACCTTCACATGTTTTTATGTGAAAAAATGTTAAGGTTTGATGATGAGCCATAAATCTAACGGCTAGGAGATGATCTCATTACATATATAGATATAATTAAATCGGAACCATAATACAATTGAAAACCGTGAAACCTACCGATCGTATATTGTTTCATATTATGAAATAATATATGTGAGAGTACATTCTTAATTTATAACGTGAAACAACACATGATTAAAGTTCTCAATTTTATTATTATTTTTATTTGATTATTCTCTCACAAACACACACAAGCATACACACATATATATATACAAACATACGTATGTATATATATATATATATATATATATGGGATCATGTGAGACGAATGGTTTTTCATGAGAACCGTAAGACCAATTCTCAACCCTTGGATTAGATCTACAATCTGAACATTCATAATCACAAAATTGCCACAAGATTTCTCAATAATCACAAAATTGTCACCGTGCAACTTTAGATCATTAAATTATTAGCTTATAAAGTTGATCAATGAACATAAATTAGTCTTACGGGTCTCACGAAAAACCCTTGGTCTCACGTGAACCCAACCCTATACATATATATATATACATATATATATATACATATATATATATACACATATATATATATATATATATATATATATATATATATATATATATATATATATATATATATATATATAAACCTTCTTGCCTTATAGTCCCTACACACCATGGGCATATACATAATGATGTGATGATTAGGCCCACTCATAGTACCATTGGATTCCTCCTGAATTTGTTCATTAATGGAGAGGAGACTATTTCCTATTTATATCCTATTTGCTTCCCATAGTTTCATTCTTTATGTTAACTTAAAATGTGATGTAATTTTCTTTTAACTTAGAATCTAAGTTATCATAACAATTTATTCTCCATCTCATTCTACATTTCATCCTAATTTTTAACTTATGATACCTTTTTATAAACAAATTTTAAATACAAACCATGTAATTGTCACAAACCATATATATAAACCCAATCTCAACCATTAATTTTGAATTTAGATACGGTTATCAAATCAATTAAAAATGACGTTGAGAGTAAATTTAGGAACCGCTTTAATCCACATATGTAAGGTTGAGATTGGTTTACAAAGTTTGTAAAGATTACATGATTTATATTTGAAACTCCCCCCTCTCTCTATATACATACATATATTATATATATATATATGTGTGTGTGTGTGTGGTATATTTCAAATGCAACCATGTCTATTTGTACAACCAATACAACCCAATTAATTGAGATATTTATGGAAATGATGAGAGTTCATTTAATATGATTTGAATATTTATGGAAGATGACTAGAATTCATTAATTATGATCAATATTTTATATTAAAAAAACAATAAAAACTTTTATGAAATTACATATTTATCAAATTAAATGGACAATTGAGATTGAGTTGTATTAGTTACACAAATGTAATGAGTTGCATAATAACTCACCTCCCTCTTCTCTCTCTCTCTCTCTATATATATATATGTGTGTGTGTATGCAATTATAAAAAAAAAATATTCTTTTGGGATATTAAAAGATAATTAAGATAAGATATTATATATATTCGCTATGCAAATGGTTAATGAACTAATTATGTAATTAACTAATTAAGATAAGACATTATAAGAAATTTGATACTCTTATCTTTTTTTAGTCTTTTTAGTTTATGTAATTAATGTTAATTTTTTTGCACAAATTTGTTGAATTAGTTGCGTTTAAATGTTTTCTTGATCTTAAAACAATATCTAATTTTCGGTAATGAAGAAAGAATTATTCTTCATATTATATATATATATATGTGTGTGTGTGTGTGTATGTAGATTCAAACGAGAACACCTCCATTTTATGAAAATAGTGTTTCGAATTTAATTAAAAGTATATTTGTAATTACTTTGAATTGTTAATTATAGAAATGATAAAGCTTTGATAATTGGACGGTGGTATCAGAAAGATAAAATATAATAATATGTGAAGAATGAAAAATATAATTAATTATTAGATTAATTTTTTATATAATATTTATTTGTGACAGATGAGTTTCATTGCTTATATATCAAATTTTAAATACTTGTGAGATCAGCAATTTATGAAATATTATGTAATGCAACTTACTAATCGGTTTCCTTACGTACGGTGATGGATACTTACCATGCATGGATTCTATGAACTGTTATCGAATGAATTAGTGTCCAAACTTTGAATCTGAATTTGTTAAAAATGGTTCAGTTTTTTAGTAGTGTATTTCAAATACAATCAGGTCCATTTGTACAACCAATGCAACTCAATTAATTGAGATATTTATGAAAATGATGAGAGTTCATTTATTATGATTTAAATATTTATGGAAGATGAATAAGGTTCATTAATTATGATCAATAGTTTATATTAGAAAACAATCAAAACTTCTATGAAATCACATATTTATCAAATTAAATGGACGGTTGGGATTAGGTTGTATTGGTTGTACAAATGTAAAGGGTTGTATAATAACCAACATCTCTCTCTATATATATAACGTGATCACAAGATATATATATATATATATATATATATATATATATCTTGTGATCACGTGAGACCAACATGTTTTTCATAAGACCTATGAGACTACTTTTTTACACTTGAAACTTCCCAGCAAAATGTTGTGAAGATAAAAATAAAGATGTTCTTGTTTGAACTCTTCCATATATAT